GGGGAGAGGTAGTCTGTTCCAGGTTCTCGGTCAATGGGAACTCGCGAAAAAGCGGTCGGTTGACGAATGGGAAAAGGGCGGAACTTTTTTCTCATTTTCAGACCCCACTCGTCATCCGTCCGTTTTTGGATAGTCCCTACTTTTTTTTTGTTAAATCAACTTTTATTGTACAAATGTCTGATATCTAGTTACAATGATTGGGAATTAAAATAGTCACAATGATTAGAATCATATGGGAATCATAGGAAATACAGATCTTTGACAAAGTTTCTATTATAAGAAATGGGGCTTGGGACCTTTCTCGCCCCAGGCTTCCCTACAAATTGTTGAGCGAAAAGTAAAATAATTCAAATTAAACCGGCTAAAATAAAACACTGTAGAGTGCCCCGATGAAGGAGACCCAGCACAATGGGAAATGAGAAAAATTGAATAAAGGAAAAATAGGACGAAAGCTATAAACCCTGTGCAGTACACCAAAGAAGGAGACCCTGCACAGGAAGAAAATTAAGACTTAGATATGTATAGTTAAGGTCTGGTTCGCATAGGAACACAGAACATTACGGTGGGCCCACGATTTGAAGAAATCAGGACCAGGGGATATATGGTAAGCTGCATTGATTCGATGGCCAATACGGGCCTTAATTTTGAATATGATTGTTTGAACTGAGGGTCGTTTGGACTCGAAAGTGTCCAGGTTCCGAGCGGCCCACAGTTCATTTAAAGTTAGTTTTATGAGAAATGAGCTAAGCTCATTGAAAAAATAAGACTGGTTGCTCCGAAGAAGGCCTTGACGTAATAAAATTAAAGGATTTGTTAATAAAATTGGTGTGTCGTAAAGTTTGTCAATTAATTTCGACACCCAGCTCCACACAGGGGACACTAGGCGGCACGCGCAGAAAGCGTGGGAGATGGTTCCTTTCTCGCCATCCCGCACACCAGGGCGGAAAAAGGCCGGGATAAGCGTCCTGCGCACACCGATCACTCACAGCCAGTCGGCGCCCGGTTTTTAGGTACGCCCGCGTCTTGACTACGCCGTGAGCGATCCGCCACGCGATGTCGCTTTCCCAGTTTGTACTAAGACCACCATAGATGTTACCCCATATGTTATCTCAATTAAATGAGCAGTCAAAGCTCCCTTCCCACTGCAATGCACAAAGCAGCCGCTGGGGGGAAGGGGAGGTGAGCTTTGAATAAAAGGTCTTGACACTGTGGTCCGGAAGTAGATTGAAATGCACCCCGATCCGGCCGGTCGAACAGTCTGGTAAACAGCGGTTAGAACAGCCTGGTAAATGGGGGGTTTGGCATCCCCTTGGTGTTTTGGGACCTCGTTAGAGCGTAGAAACGCCCAATTTTTCGGCGGCTCAGAGGAAAGCCGATCCAGTATCGCGCGAAAAATACCCATGTTAAATCACCCACGGGGGGGCAACCCACCTGAGTTTGAGGGCACGCGATTTCTCAAGGAGAATTACTACGGACAAGCCTCCGTGTTGCCACGGAAGACGGCAGGTTTCCCCCATTCCACAAAATGTCCAAATTGCTTTGGACACTCTTGTGTGAACCCAGTCCGACATATTGACCTCTGTGGCCGTGTACCAGAGGCCAGACGCTCCGAGCGTGTTTGTTATCATGGACTTGCTTTTTAAGGACAAAGTCCTAGTGCGCCAGAGGTTAAGGCGTTTTTTTCGAGTTTAGACACTCGGTCAGCCCAATTAGCTTGGTCAAGATTAGTGTTACCAAGATAAACACCGAGGATTTTAAGCTTATCGGCTATCGAGGTGATGTTCACAGGTCCTGAGGTACGTCCGGCTTGGGAGCCAACCCAGAAGCCCTCTGTTTTCTTGGGATTAAGCCGGGGGCCGACATTAAACTTCTCGAGAACATGTTGAAGGAAAATATGGTTTACCGATCAAAAGCTTTCTCTTGGTCTAGGCTTATAACAGCTGCAGGGAGCTGTTTAAACCGCACGAAATCGAAAGGAAAAGGTTTTCAAATATGCTGCGTCCAGGGATGCTGCAGTTTTGATCCTCGCTGAGGATATTAGGGAGAACCTTGCGAATGCGATTGGACAAGGCTTTTGTCGCAATCTTATAGTCAAGGTTTAGAGGCGAGATAGGTCGCCAATTTTTGAGCGATAAAGGATCGTCTTTCTTGAACTAAACAGTAAACGCAGGATTCCCCGGCGCTGCGAGTCCGAAAGAAAACCCTCGCGGAAAGAAAAATTGAGCGTATCCACTAAATCCCGTCTGAGGAGACACCCCCGAGGAGACCCCAAAACCGGGAATAAAACTCGGCAGGAAAGCCGTCTGTTCCCGGCGATTTACCCGATTCCATTTGTGAAAGAGCAGCGTGATATTCAAGAACAGTCAGCTCTCGCTCGCAAAGTGCCTGATCTTCGGATGACAAAGTGGAATCGAGCTGTTCTAAGAGCCAGTTTTGACTCTCGCGGTCGGTCAGTTCCTCAGTGTAGAGATTTTTATAGAAAGCGTTGCATTCTTTCACAATGCCCCCGAGAGGTTTTAACCGTAGTGTTATTGGCAACGCGTAATTTGTGGATCGCGTTGCGTGACTGGCTTGAGTTTTCCAGCTGGTAGAAATACCGCGTCAGTTTTTCACCCAGCTCAATCCACTGTTCCTTGCTACGGAGTATACAACCTTCAATCGCTTCATCGTCCATTGCCCTTAAGAGATCTTTGATCTCGAGCAACCTGTGACAATGATCGGCACTGTTTGGATCAGCGCGTGACTGAAGGTTGCGAAATTTCCTTCTAATATCTGGACTGAAACCAGGGGGCGGTCTTGAGGGCGTTCACTAAACGAAATCACGTGCGCAAACAGAAAACAACATCGATTATGAGAATAGAATTGTTGATCACAAGACTGAACCAGAATCATTTGCCGTGACGCGATTCTTCTGGTGTCTTCATCTGATTGTGTACATTTGTTTTGTTACTGCAATCACTTTGGCGACCTTTGAACAGAGATGAAAAGCTCTTTGGGCTTAGAACAATGAAAGTCTCGTGACTTGTGCTACGTCATCCGATGAATGAACCAGAATGGCACGCATGATCGTCTGACCACAGTTGACCAATCAGCGTTGAGAATTTGCACACGACTGATCACAGCGAGCTTTACTTACCACGCTTACGATTCTCCGGTTTCTCTTTCTTGAATCGGATTTGACTGCAAAGTATTTGGCGCTTTCTACAAGTATTTGTCAGCAAACGAGGGAAAAACATTTGAAAAAATTGTCAAGCAGCAACCGTATAAGTAGTATTTTTGTATAAGCTTGAGAAAATGGTTAGGACAGAAACATTTCTTCGTCCGATCGTTCTTGTTATGGCTGCTTATACCTTCACGGCGTTGGCAGATCAGGTGAGCTAGCCCTGTATTGCATAATTGTGAGGTTCGCATACATGCACCTCCGATAATGCTGACCAAAATCTTAGTTCGTATTTAATACACTGGTCGTGATAATATTTACTCAATGCGATGCGTTACTGCGTTTTGGGCAGTTTTGTTGTGTAAATTGTCGCTTCGTAATAACCTTAAATGAGGCTTATCTTTGGCGTACGACAACATCGTCTTGAACGAGCACTCTTGAGATGAATATAACTGTTTATCTCACTGCACTGCTCTCGTTTAGGTTATGAGCGACACAGCGCCAATTCACAAGAAGGGTTATTGCGTGTGGTATGGTCAATGTACGACTGGACCCAAAGCTAAGAACTGTCTGTATAACGGACCGGCGAAACCTTTGACCGATCCCAAGGGTTTGAAGGTGCTGAACAGCTTATGCCCTGAATTTAGGGGTCAACATACTTGCTGTTCGACAAAACAGTTGGATGCTTTGTCCAGCAATTTAGACACCATGGCGCAGCTGACAACTCGCTGCCCTGCCTGCTGGAACAACATGAGAAGATTGTACTGCCAGCTGACTTGCAACCGCGATCAGTCCATGTACATGGACCCCAGGACGGTCGATAATTATACTGGTCCGGTTAAAATAACGCAGATGAACTACTATGTTTCTCCTACCTTCAAGCAAGGTCTCTTCGACTCTTGCAAGGACGTTAACTTTCCAGGGAATAACGAGAAAGTGCTGAATTTGCTTTGTGGGCCGACGTCAGCCGGGAAGTGTACCGCGGAATTGCTGCTGAGGTATATGGGAAATACCGCGAATGGATTCGCGCCGTTCGACATCTTTTACCCATCGCTGCCCAGAAACTCTACCATGTCTCCGATGAACATAACTGTTTTTAAATGCAACAAGCAGTTTATCGACCCCCAAACGAACAGGACAGCGAGCCCTTGCAGCTGCCAAGATTGTGCGGCATCCTGTCCCGTCCGTCCCACTCTCCCACCCCAACCAACGCCTCGCAAAATCTTAGGACTCGACCTTCTCTCATTCAGTCTTTTGGTAGCCTACATAGGATTACTGGTGATTTTCTTTCCAGTCAGTCTTATTTGTGCAATGAGAAAGAAGCAGAAAAGTTATGCATTGGTGCCTGATAATGCGCAGGCCAACCTCAAGTACAGTGGTGGCTCCTACCCCCCTGTAACAAGCTCCTCCGTACCAGTTATGGTAGACTCTTCACCTGGACTGTGTGAACGGTTGGGAAGCAAAATGGAGTCTGTGCTCCGTCACAAGTTTACCAAGTGGGGTGTTTACTGTAGCACCCATCCATTTCTTGTCATGGGCGGCTCTCTTTTAGTTGTAGCAGCTTTAGCATGTGGTCTCGTCCGATTCACTGTAACTACTGATCCTGTGGAGCTGTGGTCTGCACCTAACAGCATAGCACGGAAGCAAAAAGATATCTTTGATTCCAAGTTTGGCCCTTTCTATCGCACAGAGCAGCTTATCATCCGGTCCACCTATCCCACACCTGCTGGTTACAAGAGATATGGAGATCAAAAGTTTATTCCATTTGGCCCAATCTTTCATTTGGACTTACTAAATCAGGTATTGCCAATAATATTATTCTCCCATTTTAATAGCTTCGTTTTTATGATCTAGCTTTCCATTAATGTAAAGCATGCCAATTAGTGGATTTGGGGCTATATAAATACTTTTATTATTAGTA